TACGCCGCCTGGTATCGAACTGACACGGAACATCCTCGATATTGATGGTTTTATACTCATTTAATCCCCCATAGGACCCCCATCGGACATACCCCACAAATGATATGCAAATCAACGACGACGAGTGCCTTGTAGTATTTCAACATGATTTGTGGTTTTTTCGCTATTTGCTCGACGACGAGGAGGATAAGCCTTATGCGGGGGCGTGGCGTGTCAAAAGTGACAATCATTCCGCAGCGTGTTAACAATTTGTAAACAATTATTGTTTTGCCCTATGATTGGTCGCGCGCCGGCCACTCGAAACGTCCAACGGCAGTCCTTTGTGCTGACATTTTGGGTAAACATTGAATGGAAAGGACGAAGAGGTGACATCCTTATGGGGGTGGCAATAAGGGTTTGGGGTTCCAACTGTTTGGTATCTGTGCAAATGAAATGATTCTCCATTCTAAAAACTTAATTATACGTTGACTGCAAATCATGACTTCGGTTTTTTAACGATGGCTTTGTATTTCTGTGGAATTTCAAAATTCAAATTTTTAATATCATTAAAAACAATGTCTGTAACCAATCGATGTTGCGAAGACAATGTTGCTAGCTTTTTTTAGTGTTTTCAAATGTTGCAGAAAATAATCGATTATATCGATATTGACAACGATGTTTCATCCAGGTGAACATTTAAGGTATATTATATACTTGTCTGTATACGAGAGAATACACTACAATAACAGTACTTAATTCTCCGACAAGTGCCTATTTCAAATCGTTCATATAAACAAATTTGTTCGCATATGAAAATATGTCAAATCGGTATACTTTATCAATTCTACTTAAGTCCCCATCACTAGGTTGCTGCTGCTGAAACTCAAGTTGATTACCTGTTTAAATAGAGAGGGCTTAAGTGGGCTAAGTTCATTTTTTTCATCGGTATATTTACGGTATAGTTTGAAAATAAGACGGTATATGTCAGTATATTTCTGTGGGTCAGACAGCAATTTGTATTGATAAATCCGCGGTCACACTGGTGCTGCTGCTACAAGGGCGGCCATTTACGGCATTTTTAATACTTTTCGGTATTTTTTGAGGTAAAAATTTAAACGACGGTATATTTACGTTATATCGGTATATAATGGTATATTTGTCAATTTCATCAATCTACTAAATTTAATTTTCAACGTTATATAGAAATCCAATAAAAGCAATTATTTAAATTAAGCCAATCAAGTAGAAAAAAAATTCATTAATCGGATAAAATTATGTGGGCATGGCTAAATGTTCTATATAGTGAGTAATAATCCACGGAATATCAAAAACGAGGAATATGTAAAAAAGAACTTGAATTGGTCAGTATACTTACGGTATATTTTTTAAATGAGACGGTAGGTTTCGGTATATTTCTGAGTGTCGGACGGTATATTTCATCGATAAGTCCGCGGTCACACTGGCTGCTACCGTCTTAAATTTTTTTATAAACATCGGAAAATGTAAATAATATATTTAAACAATACCAAACATAGCGGCGGAAAAGGAAAAGTGCTCTTATCGTTAACAATTCTCAATTGTGTGCTTGGGTCGCATGCAACCACATTTGTGGAATATTAAATGGTTTTCTTGCTGCTAGCTCTGCTGCTCTGCTCCCGTGTCGGACATTAATGACACACGACAAGCAACGCTAAAGAAAACGGGAAAAACAATACCCACTGTGTGTCCGTGTGAATGTGTGTGTGTGCAGTGAAGTGCTGTTGTGAGTGCTTAAGGAAAACTTCAAGAAATCCACGAAGAAGAAGGCTGCAGCAGTGCAACGCAACGAAAGCGACAGATTGCAAGCGGCATACAGGGTGTTACCGAAGACATACCTGCAGTGCAGTGAGTCCCGTCACCATAGAGAGTGTGAGGTGGGGAGGAGCGGAGAGAGCGTTTCATTCATAAAAAAGAGTACATTGCAAGTCCAATTGGTCTGGCTTCTGGCCTCACATCGAAAGGAGGTTCCACAAACACAGATACGCATACATGTGCATTGATTTTTCCAACACATTCTCCCTCTCCACTCTTCGCCCACTTGTATGTGCATGTGCGTGTGCGAGATCTATGTTTTCTTTGAGATATGTTCCGGAAAATGCCCAGGAAAACACCGATTCAAGTGGTTTTCGTTTTAAGATTAACACATTGCTGTTTGTTCCAGTTTCCCAAGCACACAAATATATTTCCCCATAATATTTGGCATTGTGTAAGGGGAAATGTATGTGTGTGTGTGTGTGGGGTGTGGGTTGGGGTGAAAATGTCAACAAGCTGCTTGCATACAGGGTGATTTCCTCCACCTCTTCTTGCTGCATTTTCCCCCAATGGGGCACGTGTATTGCGGCAAACTAAACGTGACAAAGCACAAAAGCAGCAAAAAGAAATTTACATAAAATACAATTTTGTGTTGCAACTGTTTGGCATTTAGCAGTTGGCGGCGTCCTAACGGGGCTCTATATATGTATGTATGGAACATGTGCCTATGCATGTGTGGGCTTGTGTGTGTTTAGTCCAGGTAAAAACGGAAAAGCGAACTTGTAACGGAGAATCGTAGGGAGAGGGAGGAGGGGGAAATAGACAAGCAGAAAAATATAAAAGGCATAACATTTCCGCCTGGTGCCTTCTGCTTTCGGCTGGCGTCCAAAACCCAAAATAGACAGCGACGCTACGCTCGTCGTCGCCACAGCCGCAGTGCCTCCTCTTCATCGAGCGATTATGCGTGACAAATCCGCGATGTTCATATTTCCCGACTATAGGATACCGCATTCCCAGAAAACCTTGCCTCCATTTGCAGAGACCGTACTATAATAAATCATACTGCAGTATCTCTTGCCTTTGTTCAATATCATGTTATCTGCAACCGCATAAACACTGTCAAGAAGTCCGTATATGTTTGTGGCTTCTTTCAGCACTTGGAGCCCAGCGCCACTCAATGCACTTGCAACACGCCATGCACCATGTTGTTGCTGCTGCTGCTGCTGTTACTTCTGCTGTTGCCATTGCAACATGCACCTATGCTTGCCCCACTTGAGAGGCAAGTCCACCCTAGCCCCGGCGGCTCTCCGCTCCTCCTCCCCCCACCATTCTTCCCCACCTCTGTCACTAATTTAAATGCCGCAAGTGTTGTCGAGCTTCCTGTGTGTGTGTGTGTGTGTGTTTTGCTCATTAGGGAATAATTTTGCATTAGGCCCGGCCCGTAGAAAATATAATAGAAAAAAAAGTTCAGAGACCGCGAAACCCCGCTATATATACAGTATTTATTGATTTTATATGAACTTCAATAAAAAAGAAACAAATTCGATACACCGATACACGGTTAACCCAATTCTGGGACGCCGCCCACACGCTCTTCGCCGCCGGCGCTCCCCAGAGAAGTTTGTTTCTTGATCTAAAAACAACATTTACCTATAGACGCGAATCGGGGAAACGGTCTCTCTCGGCGTAAAGCCAACAAACCTACAAAAAACACATACAAATTGTTAGTGTTTTCACACTCAGCACCTCCCTCCTCCCTCCCCCCACCTATGCCCTGTTTCCTTCTCTCTGGACTGACGACTGCATTGACTCTTAACGCCCTGACGTTGATAAATGAATCATAAAAGCTGCGCAGTCGACGTCGCCGTCACCGGCAAAAAGGCAGACAGGCGCCAAGCGGTTGACTCTCATATGTTTTGGCTGCGCTGCCGCCCACATTACATATTAGTGTCGGTGGTGTCTGTCCCAGGGTAGCAATGTTGTTACTGTAATTTTAAATGCGTGAGAGCTGCTTTGTTTTGATACCCTTGAAGCAGGTATTACGGATATGATCAAAGTTGCTGTTACGCAGTGAAAAAAATATTATACCCAAACTACAATACATAGTTCCTCAGTTCTTAGGCTAATTTTCTTCCACAAAGTCAAAAACAATAGATCGCCAAAGGTATCAAAGCATCGGCACCCGACTAATCTTTTTCTCTTGTTTATTATTACTGTAATTCCGAATGCGTGAGCTGCATTGTTTTTGTTTCGTGAGCTAATCGAAGTCACTCTTGTTATCGCATAAAGTTGTTGTTTTTGGGGGACAATCGCCAGCGTAGGCGAGAAAGCGAGCGAGCGCACAGTGGTCTCCATTGAGAATGGAAGAAACTAAATGCAGGGCATATGGGTGGAATCATTCGCTTGATGTTTATAGAACACTGTGCGAGGTGGCGCTCTTTATGGCGGCTGATACTCCCACTCTCTCTCTTTCTCTCTGTGCATGAGTTGTGTTTGCCCGTTCCCATTGGGCTGACGATCCAGAGAGTGGAAAAGCTGGCGGTGTTGCCTTGCCGGCTGCTCTACTGGCAGTGACACTCAACACTGCGGCGACAGAGGAAGAGCGAGGGCCCCAATCCCAATACCCCCAATAGAACAGTCGGATTCAGTTCGTCGGACGACCCATATTGATAAATTTATTTGCTTCTTTATTTGTTGTAGTTCTTGTTTCTCCTGCAACATTTGGTTTGTGTGGGTGCTTTAACCATTCTGAACATTTTTATGTGTTTTTTTCGCATGCCAAAATAAATGAGAGCAACACAAGACACGAATTTGACGTGATCTTCAAGATAATCACATTAAAAAAATAATAAAGTGGGCAAAAATTGTATAATTCTCTGCAGAATTCTGTGAAATATATATTCATACAGACACAGACATATATGCTATATATATCTGCGTATAAGTATTTGTGATATATTTATCTACATATACATTTTCTTATGTATGACAAATTTTTAAGTTTTTGCAAAACTTATGACTCGGACGCGACTGCAACCGAAGCTAAAAAAAATAATTGATAAAACAACAATCAAATGAGAAGATAAGCTTCGTTTATAGATAACAAAATGTTGGAAATCTGTGTGAATTCACCAAGAATGAAATCATTTCTTTTTTTCGCGAATAAAACAATCTCCTTTCGCTTTTTCCCCCATTAACAGCTGTTTTCGGGCATCAGAACAGCTGTGCATAAGCTGAAGCTGTAGAAGACAACGTCGAGGAGGAGGAGGAAGAAGCCGTAGCGAAAAGAGAAGGAAGACGGGAAAGGAAAGGAATCACCACCACCCACAGAAGGCATGTCCAGCGAGGAAGATAAACCACCGGCGCCGCCCGTGCGCCTCACCAGCAATCGCGGTGGCGCTGGCATAGAGCGTGTACCCCTCATGGGCGGCGGCGGTGGCGGTGCCGGCGGCTGTGGTGATGCGCCGTCTGTTGATATGCGACCATTGCCCAAGGGTGAGTGTGTGTGCCATGACAACACTGTGATTAGTATGTGTCCACCAGTGGAACTACAATGTGTTTCTCTTTGTTCCCCTCCAAAGAGCCCGACGATGCCGACCGAAAGAAGAAGACGCTGAAGAACAAGATCAAAGGCTCGAAACCCTCGCACACTGACTCCAAGCCGAACATCTCGTATCCGACGAATTTCGAGCATACGGTGCATGTGGGTTTCGATCCCGTAACCGGAGAATTTACGGTGAGTTTTATGGCTTTTATTGGAATCGTATTGGATCGTTTACCTTGGGATATTTATTATTATTCCATGTGCCTCGCCTTCAATTTTCATTTTGCTAAAAATAGCAGGAGGGAAATCTTCTGTTTTCATTTGCTTAAAACCTACAGTTTGATTTGATAAGCTTTTAATGAAAAACATACCCAAAGAAGAAACACTTTCACATGCTTAAGGAATTAATTGTGATTTTTGAGTAAAAGAGGAGCGCTGAAGAGCCTTGCAACAGGGATCAATGGTGATTTCTCTTTTCATTCAAAGATCTTTCAATATCCAATGAAAATTTGCATAATTTTCGCTTTCCAATTATATATAATGTACTCTTGAGAGCACATACTACATACCCTATACCCTATACATACATTATGTTGTTGTTTATCGCCGATATGTGCTCTTTACCGACTTTCTATTATTCATTATTATTTCAAGCTGCCCATGAAAGTAAGTAAACTCCACGTTTAACGCAATGGAAATCTTGCCTCCCTCTTCATTAGTTTCTCTCCAAAAGAAAAATAAACCATTGATTGTGTTCCTTTTTTTTTGTCTAAATATCAAGCCATTCCCCATTCGATGTTCGTTCCTACCATTCGATGTTTGTTTCAAGATATATCGGTGTTTCGTTATATTCCTTTTGTGTATATATCTTCAACCATTCCATTCGATGTTTGTCTATCGGGTGTTCCTCATTAGTTTCCATTACACCTACACTAGCCAACACAGACAACATATTTATGGCTGAAGCATAGAGTTTTGTAGTGGAAATGCTTTTAGTCGATGTCCCCTACTTTCGGAATGATTTGGCCAAGCATTGCTGTATCCAAAATACCTAACAAAAAGAACCCCACCCACCCTGCGGCATCTATATGTGCTCTATCTTTCATTCGCTTAGCTTTCATTTAAAGATCTGTAGTACTCAAACGATTTGTGTGTTGCCTTTTACAGGGTATGCCCGAGGCATGGGCGCGTCTGCTGATGAACTCGAACATCAGCAAACAGGAGCAGAAGAAGAATCCCCAGGCAGTGCTCGATGTGCTCAAGTGGTTTGACAACACAACCAAACAGAGGCCAAGTTCCAAATACATGACAAATGCCATAACGACGCATTCAGGTGAGAGATCCTATCCTTTGATTCTCGAACTGTATTCTCAATGTAATGCAATCGTCTTGTCTTGGACAGGCTCTTCACTAAGTCGCGTGAGCAGCAGCAGTCCCAGCAGCACGCCCACAGACTCGGAACTGCATGGCTCCAACAGTGGCGGCAATCTGATTGGCGTCCAGCTGGGCAGCATGACACTGGGACCCAATGCCAACAATGTGGCCGTGGCAGGACAAATGCTGAGCAATCACTACCAACAGCAGCAGCAGCATATTATCCAGCATCAGAATCAACAATTGCACCAGCATAACCAGCATCAACAGCATCAGCAGCATCAGCATCACATTGGCATCAGTCAATCGCATTCATACAATTTTGGCGGCCACACGGCCTCCTCATCCACATCGCAACATTCATCTGCCAATGAGGACGACATGCTCGGGTCACCGCATCAGCAGCAGCTGCAACAGGCCGCGCACCAGCCGCCACCTCCGCCAGTGGCATCGCGACCCGAACGCACGAAATCCATTTACACGCGACCCATTGAGGAACTGCAGCCAGCGCCATCGCCGTCGCCCATCATAATGCCAGCAGCACCGGCCACAACGCCCACAACACCACTGCAGAACCACAAGGTGATCACGGCACCATCGCCGCTGCATCATAATAATGTGACGACGACGCTGGACAAGAATAAGAACAATGCAAGTGAGTGTTGTGCCAGGACTAGCTGCTATTCTGCTTTTAGTTTTAGTATCGTTTTGATCGGCTCTTTAAAGGAGCCAAACCGCCGCCTGACAGCAATATTATTTGAGTTTATTCTTTAGAGATTTTAGATTTGCTGCCAGGCAGTTGGTCCACCCATCTTCTGTTTTGTTGTGTTGAAAACTAATCAACTTTTTTGTGTGGAAGATTTAAAGTAATGTCTATAATTGTTATCTGTATCGCCTCTGTGTTCTGTTCTGTTTTTGAAAAAAAAAATGCTTCTAATTGCTGCTAAAAAAAAAAATACTTTATAAAAACCAACTGCGACAACAGCGTCTGGGGGCAACTCGACGCCAGCTTCAGCATCAGCATCGACAACAGAAACAACAACAGCAGAAACACAAGGCACTGATGCAACAACAACAAGTGCAACTGCTACTATTTTGTCTGCTACTAATCCTAGTTGTACTACCAATCCTACTACTACTTCTACCACTACTACTTCTGCTACTACTACGATATTGCAAGAGCAGTTTGCAGCCGAGTCAGCAGCAGCAGCAACAACAATAGCAACAACTGCACCAACGACTAATCACCATTCTTCTGCTTCCTCCTTTTCATCATTTCCTTCATTCCACGACGATGATACAACAACAACCAACAACGCCTTGCCATCGATCCATTGTCCAACGCCGACAACATCGATGCTATCCATATCTTCCGCTCGGAACTCGACGGTGGCCATGCCCATGCCGCCGCCTCCTACCACCATAACGCCTGCCTCACCCACACCTGTCGCTGCCGACGACACCGATGCCACCTGCCTGCACACAGACCTGTACAACGATCCCTCAGTGGCGATTGGGAACAACCTGAATGCAACTGCAGTGGCAGCAGCAGCAGCAGGAGCTCCGACAGCGGCAGCTGGCAATCAGATTGCCGTCCCACAGGCAGCAGCGGCAGTCACGCCCAACACGCGGGCGGCCAATGCCAAGAAGAAGAAGATGTCCGATGAGGAAATCCTGGAGAAACTGCGCACCATCGTCTCCGTTGGGGATCCCAATCGCAAATACACGAAAATGGAGAAGATCGGCCAGGGCGCCTCGGGCACCGTGTACACGGCCATCGAATCCTCGACGGGCATGGAGGTGGCCATCAAACAGATGAACCTCTCGCAGCAACCGAAGAAGGAGCTGATCATCAATGAGATTCTGGTGATGCGAGAGAACAAGCATCCGAATGTCGTGAACTATTTGGACAGCTATCTGGTGTCCGAAGAGCTGTGGGTAGTGATGGAGTATCTGCCGGGTGGTTCGCTCACGGATGTCGTCACTGAGACCTGCATGGACGAGGGACAGATTGCGGCCGTGTGTCGGGAGGTGCTGCAAGCCCTGGAGTTCCTGCATGCCAATCAGGTGATCCATCGTGACATCAAAAGTGATAATATATTGCTTGGCCTGGATGGTTCGGTCAAGCTGACTGATTTCGGTTTCTGTGCGCAAATCTCGCCGGAGCAATCCAAACGCACAACGATGGTGGGTACGCCGTACTGGATGGCGCCCGAGGTGGTCACGCGGAAGCAGTATGGTCCCAAGGTACGGATTACTCGTTACTCTCTCTCTCCTCAAGATTTTAATTGACTTCTTTTTTATTCGACAGGTTGATTTATGGTCTTTGGGTATCATGGCCATTGAAATGGTTGAGGGCGAACCGCCATATTTGAATGAGAATCCGCTGAAAGCCTTGTACCTCATTGCCACCAATGGCAAGCCAGAGATTAAAGAAAAAGACAAGCTGTCCGCAGCATTTCAAGATTTTCTCGATCAGTGTCTGGAAGTGGAGGTGGAGCGCAGAGCCAGTGCAATGGATTTGCTAAAGGTATGATTATAGAGTGATTATAGAAGATTTTATAACTATTTCCTGTACGAATCTTTCATTAGCATCCCTTCCTGAAGCTGGCACGTCCATTGGCCAGTCTGACGCCTTTGATTATGGCCGCCAAAGAGGCCACAAAGGGCAACTGATTGTCAACGAAGAAGAAAAAGCTTATTTAACCATTACTAATGAATTACTATTGCAAAAAGCAGCAAGAAATTCTTCAGCAACAACAACCACAATAGCAAGAACAAGAACAATAGCAATAGCAACAGTAACTGAAAATCGCAGATGATGATGGATTATAATCCATCCAATAATTATTAATGATGATTATGATGGATTAACGATTATGATTATTATTATTACTATTATTAATTATTTATATAAACGTATTATATACATACATATATTATATTCTATTCTATTATATATTCTACTCGTAACAAACAAAACGCTAAGAGAAACTGCAACAGAGGAAAGAAAATGGAGAAGAGGAGACAGACACACGCGTAGTTCAATTTACACAACAATTTGGTTTCCAGAATGAACACACACACAAAAACGAAACCCAAACCCAACCCTACTTTTGGCCCACACATCATCGAAAAAAGAAACATGTTTCCCTTACTAACCTTTGTTATATACCAAAACTTAAATTTACATTACATTTGTATTTTGTATAGAAAAAACGAAAAATTTGCATCAAGCATTTTGAATGCTCTTGAAATTTGTACACTTAAAAGATCATTTAATCATTTAAGAAAGAACAAAAAACAAAAAATATTTACTTTATAGTTGTCCAGATTTACATTATTAAACATTAAAATTGGTAACTTTTGCATTTAAAAAAGAAATGAAAACCAAAACAAAAAATATATATATTACATACGATATATGTACCATGTATAAAGCACTACTTTTGATTTCTTTACATTTATTTCTCCATTCAATTTCTATAAGAAAGCGTAAGAGAGGACGAAGAACTGCTTTGGAATGCTGTAACTAACTAATCTAATGACTTGGAGTATTATTGCTGATTTTAGTTTAGTTTCTTAAATGCTTTATGTAATAAATATATATATATATATTTTTTATATGACTTTAAGTTCATTTTTTATTTGCTGCTCTTTTATTTTCGTATGCTTTTTTTGGCTGAGATTTTTGAATAGATTCTAGACCCTGCCACGTACCCCCATCCGATGGTCCTCCCTACCAGATTTTGTATGTCTATGAATCAAAAAGAAAAAACACGATAGAAATCTAATTGTAATAGAATTTACTAATTATATTTAGAGATATATAACACACACTGTATTTTTCAATTTACAAACAAATGCAACGTGGTTTATTATAGAGACAACAAAAAAACACCAACAACAAAACCCAACCTGTAGCAATATTATATAGAGAGAATGATATATATATAGTATATGGAGAATCGAACAAAAGCAACACACTAACATTGGTAGTAGTATAACTAGAGAATAAACAAATAGCATGTAAAATTCGATACTGAATCATGGAGACAAAGGCCAGAAAACCCCCAGGCGATAGAACGGATAGAAAGGAAAACCAGTTACTTTGTGCCTAACCGAAACCGTAATAATGCATTCAATAAGAGCAAAACACCAAGTAAATAGTTTAGTGCGAGTACATATACCTATGATAGAAACTAACAGATGATCTAGCCGTACTATGGTAAAGAAATAAATTATAGAATAGACAGTCAACTAAAACACCAGCTAACATAGGGAGTGCTAGTGGAGTGTTCGAATGGATGGTGGGTGGGGGGTTGTATAAATGGGAGTTGGGGTCTATATTAGGGTTCATCAAGAATTGATAGGGGGGTTAATTCAGATTTCGTTACTAAAAATCATTTCATTTCTATCATTGAGAATAAAGTGAGGATCAGCGGGAGCGTAGCTTGGGATTTATTAAGATTTGATTTTGAATAATCAAGAATTGATTGGGGGGTCAGTGAAAGCTTGGGGATCGTTCAGAATTCTTTAGTACAGATCATTTCATTGGGATCATTAAGTATTTAGGATCATTCAAATATCTTTCGTACAATTCGTATCATTGGGATCATTAAGAATTGATTTGAGTTATGTGAGAGTTTGGAATTCTTTAAGAACCGAGTGGAGATAAGTGAAAGCACAGATCAGCACCGATAATTTTTTCGAATCATTAACAATTGAATTCAGATTTCATTAGTACGGATCTTTTCTGTGGTGGCGATCTTTATCGCTCAATTTTCAACTTCCATTATCATACTGGGTTCAACATTATGTGACATTAGGCCATGGATCATTAAATTATTAGATGCGATATTTCGATCAGCGGATACCCTACAAAACAATGTGTGTGTATCGTCCCTCGTCCAAGTAGCAGACCGTTTGGCTAGTGGAAAATTCGTTAACAACAAAAGAAACAACAAACCAAATGAAACTTTATGATAAATGAGAGGAAAAAGAATTTTTTACAAAAACACAGCGCATTATTTTCGCTATTAGTTCCTAAACAAAAACAAAAAAAAAAAAACAACACAAACATATAGAAATTGGAATAACTATTCGATGAAGAGGAGAGGAGTGGTGAGAGGATGATAAAGGAGAGCCAAACGCAAAGAAAAGGAAAAGCAAGGAAAAAGAAGTCTGACGCCTGGCATCGGAAAACGAAATATGAAATATATGCAACTAAAATTATGAAGATTATTGTATTGTATTTGTGTATTGTATAATTTGTGGTATTCGTATTTATAGATTGGTAGAAAACAAAACTTCTGCAGTACAGAACGAACGAATGTGTATTAAACAATAAATGGTAGCAATGAACCGCGGAAGGAATCGATGAACGATACGATGCAAGAGAAATTAAATGGTATATAAGAAGTACATTTAGAGATAGAATTATGAAATTGCAAACAAAAGATATATATATATATATATATATAGGTGACAAATGCAAATCTTATATGTATATATATATACATTACATAAATGATCAATAAATATATATATATTGAAAAGTAGACAAGTTTTCTCCTTTTTGTTGTGTGGATGGTGTACGTTTTATTCATTTGTAAATAATTAAAATATTAGAAGCTACACAGGACTAAAATAATTTAATTTATTAGATTAAATTGAATATAGAGCTTAGCGTTTAGGCGTTGTTTTTAGGGTGTTGGGGGTAAAGGGCTGATGGGTTTTGGGGGAGGGCCATAGTGCCACTATTTGTTGCGACGCGTTGATTCGGAGGCTGTGGGTGGGGGCGGTGGTCCACGTTTGTTCAGCTCTTCCACAAACCCCACAACAATAACGTTCCTCTCCTCCTCCAAGTGGTCGAGCACCAAGTAGCTAAAGGGAGGAGATATTTAAGCTCTGATTCAGAAGAGGGGCTGGCTATATGATGGCTCTTACCGCTTATCGTTCTTGAGTATATCTTGTATTTCCTTGAGATGATTGGCATTTTCCTTGATGAGATCGCTGCTCTTGTGGGTAATGAATTTGCACTCTTGCAAGAGCTCACGCAGCGCCGTCTTCGCTTGCAGCGTTTTGTCCTTGATGTAATCCTTAAACTCGCGCTCCCCCTTCTCCGAATTGTACTTGAGATACCGCGGATCTTCTTTAACCAACTTCTTGATCTCCTTCCAAGTGCTCGTCAGCTGTAGGGTGCTGATCTCGTCGAGCATTTCGCGGAATCTCTCGCGTTTCTTCTTCATCAGATTGTCAATGTGTACATTGAAGATTCTACAAGATGAAAGTAACTATGGTATTTACTATATGTATGTAATGGATTTCTGAACCTACCTCTCACGATCATCCCGATCGAGTGGCTCGATCTGCTCCCATCGATGATCCTTGCGAAGCTGTCGCTTCACCTCCTTCCAAGTGAAGTCTGCCGTCCTCACGAGATCCGTCAGCAGGGCCGTAAAGTGTCCAATGCTTTCGTCCCGCTTGTGGTGCTCACGCTCCTTGTCCCGATCACGCAGATGACCGGCCAGGGTGCGCTGCACCTCCTTCTCCCTTTCCCGAATACTCTGCTCTGCCCGAAGCTTCTTTTCGCGCTCCTTTTGCTTTTGTTCGGCCTCGCTCTCCCGCTGGCGGGCCACTTCGCTGTCATCGCTGCCAGCCCGCTCCTCGCGCTCCGACTCGTCATGGTGTTCGCCCTCCTCCTGCAGTACAATCAAGGACACTTTTAGTAGAAAGAACACTAAAAAAAGAAATAAAAACTTACGGGGGAATCTCGTTTTTTGCTCTTCTCCGACTTGCTCTTATCCTTCTCCTTGTCTTTGTCCTTGGAGGATTTACGCTCACGGTCCTTGTCCTTGGAGCGACTACGGCCACGATCCTTGCGGCTCTTCTCCTTGTCCTTGTCCTTATCCTTGTCCTTGCGATCGGATTTACGTTCCCGATGACGTTCCCTCTCCCGCTGTTCCCGCTGCTCACGCTCCTTGCGCTTCTCCTCCTTCATTATGTGGAGATAATCCTCGAAGTACTCCTCCCGATACATTGAGTCGACTATCCGGTAGCGCGGATCCGATTCCAGCTTCTTCTTGATGTCATACCAACGCGTATGGCGCTCAATGTCGTGCCGCTCCCGCAGCATATCGAGAAAGTCCTTGCGAATCTAGAGAGTGTGATTGTAAGGGAGGAGAATGTTTGACATGACAGCCATGCGGAAGAGAAAAGAAATAAAGTCTACGAGTTAGAGGTCTGGCATTGATAAGAGTCTTTCACTTAACAATCTATGGGCTTAAAGAGCAAACTTAGAGCTTAAATGCTAGTAATTTCTTATGGCTACTGAACATAGTTACACTCTTCATGTTGCCTGCAAAAGAGAATGATTTTGGATTAGTGTTTCAAAGACCTAACTGAAAGAGAAGTTGTTCGATTAGTTTCAGGCCCTGGCTCCGTGGAGAGAGAGAGGATCTACATGTAAAAGCAGGACTTTCAGACCACAGAAAAATGAAATTAAATGAGTGAAAGTTTACTTGACTTTTTTGGGTGTGGGAAAAATACAAATGTGTATTCAATGTGCTTCTATCGTTTACAATCGTTCAATCAAAGCAGAGTAAATGCAAGTGCATATATGGGAAACAAGCAATAATCAGACCACCTTTTGCTAAATTCCTCTCTCTGTGTTTCCGTCTTTAGAGCAGGGCCTTTGAAAGGATTACATTAAAAGACTTCAGGCCATGGCCGAAGTGTACAGTGTTTATAGAGCTACAATAAATACATATAATAGTATACATAATAAAGGTGAGTGGGTGGCGGGGCGGGCGCCGGCAAGTGCAAAGATCTGATCTCCATGGACATGGGACATCGGATCTCTTTGCGCTCCATTGGGGCCACACAGAACTCTTGGGGCGGGTCGTGGGGGATGTCTTTATTATTGTAAAACATAAACGGAAAATATTTGGTTAATTAAATTACGTATTATTCATACTGTTTGCTCAGCGGCCGAAGACACCCTGCAAGCTGTGGCTCTCCTCCGATTGCTCCTCTTTCTGCAGCAGCTCCTCCTCTCTCCTCCTACCTCCTGATGGGCCTCTCTCTTTCTCTCTCTCTCTCTCTCTCTGTGTACCAACACGATCTTCAAATATCATCGTGTTACATATGATTACAAAATGCCAATAACTCCAATGCCATTCTCCATTCATTATCCATTATCATCACATCCTCACATCACATCCTAATTTTCGGGGGCGACGTGGGGCATGGCATGGGGCGGGAAGTGGAAATCACACCAACAATTATTCAGGATATTTTTCAGTATTTTGGCTGAACAGAACCTTTTTTTGTTGTCATATAAATTGTCTTTTTGTTTTCCAAATTTGTTTCATTTTGTTTTTTAATTTTTTTTTTTTGCAGAAAAACAAATTTTTAATGGAATTTTTTGGTTTTGTTTTTTTAGTTTTTTTTTTTAGAAAACTCACCACACAGATTGCGAGCGTGGTGTGCGTGGTGCGATGACGACGATGTTGTTGAAGATTGTTGTTGTTGTTGTTGTTGTTCTTGATGTTGCTGTCGTTTTGTGTGATGGTGGTTTTTGGTGATGTTTTTTTTTGAGTGGTGGTGCATTTGTGCTGTAATCTGTAGCTAGTAGTAGCAGTAGCTAGTGGCTAGGGTAACAGTGGCCACAGGCAATGCATTTTATTGTGTGGTGTGGGCATCATTTAGCGACACAACGGAACCACATGGTCGTCGTCGGTCAAAGGGCAAATGCAATGCAGTTCAGGGTTTCAGTTTCAGGTTTCAGATTTGGTTGGGTTTCAGTATCAGTTTCGGTTCACACACGTTGTTTTATGTTTAAAAGTTAACAAAAAATCAATCATATTATGTAAATACGCTTTGTATACAGATTAAGATTTAAAATATATGTATATAGAATATATTGGTATATAATTGGCATAGATACATCGATTCATTTGGATACGTAAGGAGATTCAACAGCATCGTATAAGTAGTACGATTTCCCTGCCATAAGCCTACCTGTTCTTTTTTTAGTTGCTTGTCCTCCTTCTCCCGACGGCGTACGTCCACGATGTACTCGTTGAAGAGGCTCTCGCGCTCGCGCACCTTCTCGATGGCCCGATAGCGCTCCTCCTTGGCATTCTTCTGGCTAAACTCTGAGAAGGAGGATCTGCAAAGGCAGGGCAAGGGTCAGTCAGCAAACAATTCAATCGAACGATCAATCAACCCGCTAAACACTCACTTGCCATGCAGCCTGGCCTCCTCCATAAGGCTACGGAAGTCATCGCGCTTCTGTCGCATCTTGTTGCGCTTCTCCTTGCGCTCCTCCTCGGCCCGGTCCTTGACATACTTTTCAAATACCTGTTTGCGTTCCTTCGATGTGAGCAGCAGATACCGCGGATCAAAGACAATCTTGTGCAGCTCCTTCTCCCACGTGCTGAACGCCGACACATCCTTCTCCCGCAGCATCTCCTTGAACTGGGTGACGCGCATCTCCAGGGGAATGAGGGCACGCTCCTTGGCTGCCCTCTGCTCGGCCTCCAATGCAGCATCCTCGGACCGCTTCGATTTTGTCACTAATATGAACAAATTTATTAAAAGGGGGCCAGAAATGGGATTTATGGGCACTCAATACTTTTCTTACCCATCCGCACGCGCTTGGTGGGGACCTCCTCTACACTGGATTCGGATTCAGTGCCAATCTTGATGACCTCCTCGTCATCCTCCTCCTCCGGTTCAATGTGCTGGACGTCCGGCTGCTGTGCCTGCGCCTGGGCCACGGCTGAGGCTAGCTCTTCTCCTGCTTCCTCGTTGGTCTTCTGTTCTGCCGCTTCAGCTGACTTTTCCTCCTCCGTTTTGAGCTGTTCGGGTCGATCGTTGACCGCCTTGTCCACATCCTCACGGTTCATTAGATCCTCGGGTCGATCCCAGACCGAAGTCCGCGTCGAGGGATTGTAAAAGAAGACACGAGCATCGCCAGTCCAGACCACACACCAGGGTGTGCCCGCAATGGGGGTGCTCGTTACTGGGCGAGACTTGTCCGTCTGCTTGGCCGTGGCCGCCGCTTGCTTCTTTTGCTCCTCCTCCTTCTTGCGCTTCTCTTCGGCCGCCTTCTTCCCCTCCTTTTCCAAGGCGGCTGCCTGCGATGCCTTTGCACTCTCGGTGTTCGCTTTCATGGCGGCGGCAGCTGCCGCGTACGCCATTTGGGGATCAAATCCCGGTGGCGCCGTGCCCGGAGGCATGTGCATCATCGGATTGGGCAGCAAATGGGGTGGTATTCCGCCTGGAGGTCCCACTGCTGGCGCCACACCGGAGTGTGCAGCCATACGGGCCGCCTCCATGTCCCTCAGAGCCTGCGGCTTCTCCCACACGCTCTCCCCGCGCGCAGCATGATAATAATACGGCCTGCCATCCGGAGCACGATGCTCGGACCATTCCGCTGCCCGTGCAATCACCGCTGGATCTATGACGCCTGGCTTTATGATCAGCGTCTTGGCTGGCTTATCCTGGCCGCCTGGCGGAGCGTGCATGTGCTGCTGCTGCTGTTGTTGCTGTTGCCATGGCGGCACACCCACGCCCCAGGGTCCACCGGGAGCAGCACCCCCCGGGAAGCCATATGCAGGCGGGGGCATGCAGAAGGGCGGCTGGCCAAAACCAGGAGGCGGCTGCATCCCAGGAGGCTGAAACATGGGCGGCGGCTGTTGTCGTACATTGGGCGGAGGCTGCGACAGCAGCGGACCGGCTGCATTCGGCGGGGGTTGGCTCATCAGATGAGGCGGTGGCTGCGATGTCAGATGGGGTACTGCTGCCATCTCAGAGCCCAGAGATGGTTCGCCAGTTTTCACATCCGGCTTGACAGCCGCATTGGGCGGCCTCTTGGCTATCTCCTCTACCTCAGTTTGGGTCATTATTTTGACAGTGGGCCCATCCGGACGTGTCCAGGTGGTTTCGCGCGTCACCGCATGGTAATAGTAGGAGCGTCCATCCTCCGCCTTCGTCTCCACCCAAATCTCTGATGTGGCCGCCGCCACACCATTTGCCCCTGGAGGAGGCATCTGTTGGTGGTGTGTCGGTGGCTGTTGTTGTTGCTGCTGCTGTTGTTGTAGCGCCTGCTGTTGCAGCGTCTGCTGCTGGGCCGAGTGCTCGCCGATGGGGCGGCCACTAAATGCATTAAAAGGTTTACTCCTGGAATGCGACCACATTTAGTATGCTTCGATATCGGCATCGGGTGGAAAAGTCGGCGCCAGATACTTACCAAGTGACATCGGTCGGTTTTTCCTTCGCTATAGCAACGCCGTTCGGCCCCTCTTGACTGGCGCTGGCACTGGCACTGCCATTGCCATTGATGTTCAGGGCGACTCCTGGAGGAGATTGATTCTCTTCCTGAAAGTTTACCGGCGAACTGGCCCGCTCACTGTCCATGCTCTCGTCTAAAGTGGTTTCCATTGCACACAATTTACGCGTATTACACTTTTTTCTCTTTGCATTTAAAAATTTTCACCAATTTTTCTGCACTTTTCTGCCGCTAGGGATGTAAATACAAGCAGGTGTGCTTTCGATACGTGTTATCGATTGCTGTCAAAACACAGTGCTGGCTATCTGCCTAGAGATGAGCACGATATTTTGGTCAAGCTCTTTGAATTTAGGAAATATTAGCAAATAGACTTTAAATCTCAATCCTATCCAGATATGGTGTGTACAGTATAATATAATATTGACAATGTTCAATCTCTGCTTTAGCTGTGATTGCTGATTTAAGACACCCTTCTCAACAGTAACAGGTTCGTGTAACTATCGCCCAGCGTCGTGTAGTAACACGACCCCACCCCTCACACATTCAAACCCGAATTGTTTTTCTAACACGTGCAGCCGCGGTTTGCAATGGGGAAAATACGGAAAATAAAGACACACACCCCTGCCGGAGTAGGACTGGATGCATCCCTCCTGAATGGCCAGGACATTGACAGCGAGGAGGAGGGCTGCGGACCCATTGAAGCGATCAGTGTGCATCTACAACGACCGGATGTGGAGGAAAAGCTGAATGGACTGCACTCGTTCGCGGTGCTCGCCCTGCGAAAGGAAAAGGTTCAGGAAATCTGCCAAAGTAACTTGGTCCGCATTGCTGCACCCATGCTGTGCGACAAGGATATGGCAATTCGCGATGCCGCCGCCGGTGCCCTGAGAAATCTATCCGTGTTCGGATCAGAGGTCTGCGATTTCCTCGTCGACAATGATATATTGACTGCCCTGCTGTCGCTGGTGGCTGGCTACGACCTGACGAAACCTGTGTGCTTCGAGTCCGAGCTCCATGCCGACATCTTTCTGCAGGCAACACACTTGCTGCGGAATCTATGCGAGAGCTCTCCCACAGCCACAGAAGCCTTCAATCAGTCGAATTTCTTAAGGAATCTGCTGCTCTGCCTGGACTACCAGAAGTTTGGCCTGGAGATATCCATTTCCGTGGCTCAGCTGGTACTGGTGGTCTCCGAAAACAACTCTAGCTCGTGGAACCTCCTGGCAAATGCCACAATTCTGACAGAACTACTGAAAGTAACGGAAGGAAGCCACAGTTTGTTGTACCTAAGCGCTCTGGCAGCCGGGATTCTGTGCAATGTGCCCGCCTGTTCATCGGCCTACACGCGGGAGATTCTCGGCAGCCTGGACAAACTGCTGACGATCGACACGCAGGCGCAGCTGATGGGCTGCAAAAACGAAATCAAAGACCTGAAGAGTAAAAACGAAGCACCCGTGCTGGAGATCTCCATGGAAACGGAAGAAATGTCCGAAGCGCAGACCCAAAATCAGCCAAAACCCCAAAGTGAAGCGGATTCTGCTGTCAAGAATCTGGAGTATCTGTTGGATGCCCAACGTCTGGTGGCAGAAATCATCACCAATCTCGGATCGAGTGACGATCAATCTGGTTGGGGCTCGGACTCGGATCAGTCGGAGACCGAAAGTGTCGTCGATTTCGATATGAACGAACAGTCGGCGGACAATGATGCGGGTGCTCTGCCTGTGAATTTCGTGGAAACCATCCTACAAAACAATGTGGTGCAGAAACTGTGGCAAAAATCGCAGCCCCTCGACACCGCACTGGAGAAGCTCCTCTCGCAGCAGGAGAGCATTCGCGAGAAGGTCTCGAAAATGCGTGTCTCCTACCTGATTTGCCTGCAGAATCTGTGCAACGTGCTGTCGGTGCACGATCTGGGTGGCCACAATGACATCTACAACATGTGGTTCCACCTGGGACAGCAGGCCTTCAAGGGTACGGAAGATGCAACGATAATGGAGGCCATAACATCGCTAATGCGTTCCGCCTTGACGCTCCTGAAGACGCGCAAGGATCTCTTCAGTCAAATAACCGAAAATGATCTAAACATGATCATCGAGAGTGCCCAAAAGTCAACAATTATGGATATACGCGTCAATTGGAACCGCATGCTCGGCACACTGGGCTGCCTCTTGTCGGAGGCCCTAGTGAAAGGCATTGTCCAGTTCCTCCTGAATTCCTGCGCACAGGAGGAAGATCTGTGGGCCATGTCCGAGGGACTGGATGCCTTGATGGACATCTTTGCTGACGACGATTGGCCGCAAATCATAGCCGATTTGAATATGTGCGAGCGCGTCCAAACCCTCGAGGAACAGTTCAAATCAAAGTTCAGACAACAGCGGCGTGACCTTAAGGAGCGACGTCCCACCATATACACTGTAAAATCAAATTTTTCACGCTTTGTATTTTATTTAAACAAAAACTGTAAGCAATAAAATGAATTTTGACCAAACGAATCAGGCATGCAAATCGGCAAATCGTTAAATGGAATATATGGTAAGCCAGTAGTATTCCATTCAATGCGCAATGATATCTGGATGGAAAATGTTGCCGCTGGGGCTGGTGTGCCTCCTCCTGTTGGTGGAGCTGGCACTGGCCGTCGGTCCTACGGGGGTAGATTTCAGAGCCTACAACTACTGCGATGAGAAACTTTGTCCCGAGGGAACGACACATGTGGCCTGTAAGGCACGGGAGAAAGTGAGTATCCCAACCAGCCATTTCTTGAAATGGTGACCTAGGTGCCACGTAGGTGCCACGCATTATACATCTGTGTATCTTGAACCACTGAACAGACACTGGGCAAAAAATGTTCGATGGATGCCGACATAATACCAATCGAAGGCAAGCTACAGGACAGTCTAGTAGATCGTATTAATGAGCTGAGGGATAAGGTGGCCCAAGGGGGCTTTAGTGGCTTGACGGCGGCTGCTAAAATGGCGACCATGACTTGGGACCCGGAGCTGGCCTACCTCGCCGGCTTCAATGTGCAGACGTGTGATCCCCATCTCGATAAGTGCCGGAATACCCTGGTGTACAGCACCGTTGGCCAGTCGGTGGCCTATCGCGGCCTCAGCTCTAAGCATCGAGAGCTGGTTGAGATCATCTACAATGCCATTGGCTTGTGGTATCGTGAGCACGAGGTCACCGCCATGGATGACATCTTGAACTACATTGGACCGCACTTTGGGTAAGGTAAGATTGGTTGCCAATTCTCATGGGCTAACTCCCCGCTAACTCGCCCCGCAGAAAACCGAGAGAGAACTTTGTTCAAATGGTGGTCGACAATTGCAATCGTGTGGGCTGTGCCATCGTCCAACAGACCAAGAACGGCTGGCTCCAGACCTTTCTCACTTGCAACTACGCTTTCGCCCCTGTGCTGGGTCAACCCGTTTACAACAGCAGCAAACGGGCCGGTGATGGTTGCCAGTCCGGCCACAACCCCGTCTATACGAATCTCTGTTCTGTCGATGAAGTATACATGAGGAATGGGGTATCGACCATAGTCGATGTGCGAGAGCTAAATCGTTTGATCCCTAACCGAAGTCCAGGAATCGAAGAATATGTGAATCCTCCAAATTCCTCCAGTGCAGCATCAGCTGGCGAAGACGCGCCACCATCAGCTGCTGGTGAAGAAGTAGCGCCAGTAGCACGTCGCAGATCTGGCAAAATTCTTAAACGTAAGAGTCCACTAGGCCAGAAACCCAACGTTCAAAAGCGTAAGAGTCCACTCCGGCAGAAGACCAAGGTTCAAAAGCGTACAAGTCCAACACTCAAGAAAACGAAGATTCAAAAGCGTAAGAGTCCACTCCGCCAGAAACCCAAGGTTCAACTAAGATTGATGCCCACAATCGGACATAAAGTAGGATTAGCACGAAGAAGTAAAATCCAACGCAGAGAAGGAGAAGCTGCAGCAGCAGAAGGAGTAGCACAAAGAGTAGGCTCAGAAGGTGCAGCAGCAGAAGGAGCAGCAGCAGAAGGAGCAGCAGAAGGAGCCGCAGAAGGAGCAGCAGAAGGAGCAGCAGAAGGACCAGCAGAAGGAGCCGCAGAAGGAGCAGCAGAAGGAGCCGCAGAAGGAGCTGCAGAAGGAGCCGCAGAAGGAGCTGCAGAAGGAGCTGCAGAAGAAGCAACAACAGAAGGCGCCGCAGAAGGAGCAGCAGAAGGGGCAGCAGAAGGTGCTACAGAAGGAGCAGCAGAAGGTGGAACAGCAACTGAGGGTAAGAGAAACCACACATATTCCTTGTATATTTTGTACATATACAAAAAAGAGTGCCTGAATCCACAGTGCTTATAAAATCACAGATATACCCATCCCCTGCCCCTTTAATCGGTTACGAATCATTACGAATCTTGCCTTCAGTCAGAACCGAAAGATACCGAATCTCTAAAAACTGAGTTCGAGCACTGCGTTTTCGCAATCAGTAGCAAAGGCTCTTCTAGTTTCGGAAGTTTCACAGACTTCCAGGTGGCCCTGAATACCATCACTAGCACGGGCATGTGGGAGCTCAGCTCCTGGACGCTGAGCACAGGTCCCGGCCTAAACGCATGAAACGGTTAGCAGTGTCATCGCCCCAGTGGAACCCTCTTTCGTCTCCGTGTGTACGGCGATTACCTTGGGCCCTGTCCCCGTCCAAATGGGCGCTCATCATGTGGCTCAGCAAGTGCGAGTGGGCCACCAGCTCCTTGCAATCATCCACCTCCTCCTTCGCCTCATCGTCTTGATCTTGCGTCTCTGTGGCGGGAGTCCGAGAAGTGAGAAAGAGTGCTGAATTTATATTCAGGGAAAATATCGAAATACTTCTTACTTATAGAGAGTTTAGCCTCATTAAGAGAAATCTCTTAATTCGTACGAATTTATCCGAAATGTTAATTGTAAAAATTTCCGAAAACCAGAGCATGGCTTTATGTCTTAAGACTGTCCTTTTTGGATGGAGGCTAATATAATTTTTGCCATTTGCATTTCCAATTTCATCTTAATTGATATTGTTCCATTATGCCTTCAATGTAATTTTTGGCAAATTTAATTTCGAAACTGCAAAATATTTGCACTCAGTTTTCTGTTGTTTAAACTTCGATATACAGATATATATATGTATATACATTTGCACCATCCATCTTCAGCAGGTGGCGGTGAAGCAGCAACTGGAGAGGGCGGAGAGACCACTGCAGCAGCAGCAGCAGCAGATGGGGAGACCAATGCAGCAGCAGATGGAGAGACCACTGCAGCAGCAGCAGATGGGGAGACCACTTCAGCAGCAGCAGCAGATGGGGAGACCACTGCAGCAGCACCAGCAGCAGATGGGGAGGCCACTGCAGCAGCACTAGGAGCAGATGGGGAGACCACTTCAGCACAAGCAGCAGATAAGACTACTGCAGCAGCAGCAGCAGCAGATGGGGGGACCAATGCAGCACCAGAAGCTGATGGAGAGGCTAATGCACCAGCATCGGCTGATGGAGAGGCCAATGCACCAGCATCGGCTGATGGAGAGGCCAATGCACCAGCATCGGCTGATGGAGAGGCCAATGCAGCAGCAGATGGAGAGACCACTGCAGCAGCAGTAGATGGAGGAGCATCAGGAGGAGCTGGTATTGCTGCAGAAGGTGAAGGAGAATCATCATCTTCAGGTGAAGATTGGGTAGAATCGCTAGAATCATATTCTGATGAATCAGATGAAGATGATGTAGACACCTCCCATCGACTAAGAGAATTACCAGATGAAAAAAAAAATCAGAAACATGAAGAACAGCAGGCGGCAGAGGATAAAGCCCGGATTCTAAGGAAGTTCGCTCGCTTTCTGGCCATGATAAAAAGGGCTAATATGCTCAACAAGGAAGGCAAGGTCACGATCGTTACCACGAACCATGAGGTGGAGTACAATAGCAACAAAGTCGAGGGTCATAGAACTAACTTTAGAAGTCCAAAAGACAAGCGTTTAATCAACAGAGCCCGACGAATACGTCGGAGGAAGTGGAACTGGTACAGAACAGGAAGAGCGAACAAAGTCATGAAACGTGGTAGAAAACAAAATGGGCAGCGGCGTCGTCGTCGTCGTGGTCGTGGTCGTGGTCGTCAACGTTCCAGATCCAAGGCCGATGCCCGTTGGATTGTTGTGGGCTGAATGGTTGAATGCTGAATAAATGCAGATGTTCCAGAGCCTAGAGAATATCCTTTTTCATAAATAAATCAATGTTGAAATAAATGGAAATGATATGCGCTCCACTGCATAAATCTTGTATGTTTGTTTTTCTTTTTTATACTCGGTACTACACATACAGTTTTTGAATTAATCTACGATTCAGGACTATCTATAACTTCTGTAATTGCATCGTTTTCCAAATATCATTCATGCGCATTCGTCCCTCACGCAAATGACTCATCAGGGCATCAACGCCCGCTTGTATGGGGGTAGCAGGGCGCACACTGCCACTGCCGCTGCCGCTGCTTTCTCTTGTACACGTGGCCAGATGTCGGTGGTAGCGCCATTGGGTCTTGTACGACTTGTGGCAGTGGTTGCAGGTGTAGCACTCCTCATCGGCAGAGCCTTCTTCCACGTTTTCTCTCTTGACCGAATGCCGATTGTGGTTGGGACTGATCCATTTGGGCTCTGTCTTGATGAGCAGCTGTGTCTTGTTCTTGCGCTGCAGCTCCGACTGGTGATTGTACCGTACGTGATTGAACATTTTGGACATACTGGTCTTGGTGCGATTGCAAAGGGTGCACTTGAGATATGATCGATAGGGCAGATGCTTGAAGCAATGTTTCTGCAGCTCGGATCTCTTGGTGGTGGGCTGGATCTCGTGGCACTGCAGACACATGCTCTTGCGTCCAGCCTCCAGGATCTTGAAGCTATTCTCAATGTAATGCTCAAAGTCGTGCTTCTCGAACACATGCTCCCGCCACACATCCATGGAGTTGACCTCCTTGCCGCATTTCGGACATAAAAAGGTTAAGAGTTTCATGAGGCCGCTGGTGGAGATTTCCGTATCGGATTCTCGATTTGGGCTGCCGGAAATGCGTCGTCGTTTGACGCTGTTTGCACCAACAGCGCCCGCCGAATTCTCTGGATCTGTCTTCATTTCCTTCTGTAGCTGCGCCACTTCATCCTTGCCAAGAGCATCGATCTCAATGATGACCATCTCTTTGTTCTCCGCATCCTCTTCTGCTTCGGCGGCTTCGGGATCATCGAAAAACTCCTGGCAAAGGGCATCCAAATCGGCCTCGTCCTTGGGAGTCTGTTCCTCCTCCTTGCGCACAATATCCTCGTACGCCGTCAGGCATCTGTCCAGGTTTACTTCACTCACATTCGGCTTGTTTGGGGAGGATTTATCCTCCTCTGCCTGCAAATCAATGTCCATTAGGGCCTTTTGTAGCAGATCCCTACGTCTGGCGCCCACTGTCCCTGGCGGACGACCGCGACGTTTCGGTAGCAGTCGTCCCGCAACCGTTGTCGTGGCAGATGTATTGGGGTTCGGATTCCTTTTCATTTGTCGCAGCTTCGCTTCGTACTTTTCAATCTCCCGAATGTGCGTGTCCAACAGATGGCCATTGAGTGCACGTCTCCTGGTGTATGCCATGCGGCAGTGCACACAGCGATATGTTTCGCTGTGGTCCAAGTGCATGAAATAATGGTACTGCAGCAGAGCGATTGTCTTGTGTGCATTTTCCACCCACTTAAAGCAGATCTGGCACTCATGGAAACGCTCATCGATTTCGATAAAGTTAAAGTCCGAATAGGTCTTCTTCAGATAGTCGTGTTTCTGCAAAGGAAGAATGGATTTTAGCAACCAGGAGGGACGGGACCGCATTACTCACTGTATTTAGATGCTGACGCCACTCGGCCTGTGTCCGGAAGGCCTTTCCACACTCAGGGCATATGTACACCATGTGCGCCTCCAGGCGAGCATTCAATCTGCTTTGTTCGTCCGTCAGCATCATATTTCGCGACATTTTTGAATCAAATTTCTTGAAATTCAATCAAAACAACTTTTAGACGCACAAAATTGACATCGCATCCATCAAATGAAAGCGATAGGTCGATTTCGATACACTTGGTGGCTATCGGAATGCATCACTGCCATCCTCACATCGCTAGTTCTGCAATGAATAAATTTTTAGTAAAAACACACCATTTTTAAATTGTAAGCTTAAAGTATTAGTAGTAGGATCAAATTGAATCAAAATATCATGTCGAGTGCATCAAAGTCCACAGTAAGCAGCACTTGTCTTCTTTTTGGATAACTTTTCTACTACACCCACTACTACTTTCATGAGCAGCCAAGCGCCGCCGCCAGCGGCAGCAACAGCAGCAGCAACAGCTCCACGTCTGCAGCAACGGCGTCAGCATCCTCCTCGAATGTCCAGGAATTTAAGATCCGGGTGCCCAAGATGCGAAAGAAGCATCATGTTATGCGTTTCAATGCCACACTGAATGTGGATTTCGCCCAATGGCGAAATGTGAAACTGGAGAGGGAAAACAATATGAAGGAGTTTCGAGGGATGGACGAGGATCAGCCCAAGTTTGGGGCCGGCTCCGAGTACAATCGAGATCAGCGAGAGGAGGCACGCCGCAAGAAGTTTGGGATCATAGCGCGCAAGTACAGGCCGGAAGCACAGCCCTGGATATTGAAAGTCGGTGGCAAGATGGGGAAAAAGTTCAAGGGCATTCGGGAGGGCGGTGTGGGTGAGAATGCAGCATTCTATGTGTTCACCCATGCCCCGGATGGTGCCATCGAGGCGTATCCCCTGAACGAGTGGTACAATTTCCAACCCATTCAGAGATACAAATCTCTATCGGCGGAGGAGGCGGAGCAGGAGTTCGGTCGTCGAAAGAAGGTCATGAACTACTTCTCGCTTATGTTGCGCAAGCGTTTGCGTGGCGACGAGGAGGAGGAGCAGGATCCGGAGGAGGCAAAACTACTTAAGGCAGCGACCAAAAAGTCCAAAGAGCTAAAAATCACCGACATGGACGAGTGGATCGATTCCGAGGACGAGTCCGACTCGGAAGACGAGGAGGAGAAGAAGAAAAAGGAGCAGGAGGACAGCGACGATGGCAGCAAGGCCAAGGGGGGCAAGGGCAAAAAGGGCGCCGACAAAAAGAAGAAAAAGCGCGATGTGGACGACGAGGCGTTCGAGGAGTCGGATGATGGCGATGAAGAGGGTCGTGAAATGGACTACGACACCGAGTCCAGTGAAGAGTATGTCTATCTCGTCATTATCTTTTATCTGATTCCCACTTGTTGACACACTTGTTGCTGCCCACAGTGAACCCGATCCCGAATCCAAGCTGGACAAGGACATGAAGGGCGTTGCAGAGGAGGATGCTCTACGGAAGCTGCTTACATCGGACGAGGAAGATGAGGACGAGAAGAAGTCGGATGAGTCGGACAAGGATGAGGCGGATGGTGAGAAAAAGAAGAAGGAAAAGAACAAAGACGAAGCCTCTAAGGACAAGAAGAAGAAGAAACCCTCGAAGGATGACAAGAAGGCGAAGGCAAACGGCAGCGGTGGCGACTCCTCCACGGACTTCAGTACGGACAGCACAGACTCCGAGGATGATCTCAGCAATGGGCCACCCAAAAAGAAGGTCGTCCCCAAGGACAAAGAAAAGGAGAAGGAAAAGGAAAAGGAGAGTGCCACCAACAACAAGCCATCAACCAGCAGCAATGTCAACAAATCGCGCTCTTCCACGCCCACGCCAGCGAACAACGATGTCAACAAACGCAAGATGAACAGCCTGCCCAGCGATCTCACTGGCTCGGACACCAGTAACAGTCCAACCAGCACGCCGGCCAAGCGGACCAAAAACGAAATCAGCACTTCGCTGCCCACATCCTTCTCTGGCAGCAAAGTGGAGTAAGTTCAACCTTTAAATCCCCTTTAAATACAGTGTTCCTAACCATGTTTCTTTTTCAGGGACTATGGCATAACCGAGGAGGCAGTGCGGCGGTATCTCAAGCGTAAGCCGTTGACTGCCACCGAGCTGCTGACCAAGTTCAAGAACAAAAAGACTGGCGTCTCTAGCGATCGCCTTGTGGAGACTATGACAAAAATATTGAAGAAAATCAATCCCGTGAAGCACACCATCCAAGGAAAGATGTATTTGTGGATTAAATAGGCTGTAGACATGTGATTGTAAGATTTTTACATTTCACGTTCATTAAATTTAAGCTCAAATTGCCCTAAGATAGGGCCACATCTTGAAGAATTTGAAGTTGTTTTTATTTATTATTTAATTTACCCCTGGTTGGTAGAAGCGATAACATCGACGCACAAAAACATCGATAGTCCAACCGATGGTTTCAACAGTCATCTCTAACGGTTATCGCGAAGCACAAGTCCGTGTGGGGGAATGTAAAAAAAAAAAAAATATCCACTAATTACCAAGTCAAATCCTGATTTCTCGACTGCCATGCTAAATAACGATCTGCGCCAGTGTCCCTGTTGAATATTACCGACGCATAGATATCGTGCAGTGTCCTAGAATAGCAGCAAAATAGAACGCAATTGTTTTGCGATGGCGACGAGTGCTGGCGAAAAGGCGAGCGAGTGCTGAGAGAGAAAAAAATCGGTTGCAGAAATAAACCCTCAAGCAGCAAAACAGTGGCAGCCAAAATCAACAGAATTCCTGAAATAAACAATAACCGAGTGAGTTCTCAATGGGGTGTACGTGAATAAAAGGCCAAATAAGACAGGAAATCAGCTCAGCTGCTTTGTTGTGGTGTTAATTAAGCAGCAACACACATACACACATGAAAGCACCACCCACCCACACATATGCGGACGGAGAGAGATACGCCTAACAAAAAAAAAGCATAACAAAAGCCAGTGCATTAATTTGTTGGTAAAAATTTAGCGTTTTAGTCGGTGATGCCTTTTGATGGTCGCTTCAACCCTTTACACCTGTTGTCCCTTTTTCACTACAGGTACAAATACAGATATTACAAGTGTATTGGTATGTAAAGCAAAACCTTGAATTCGCGTTGTTTCGTGCGATGTGCGCCTTGTAAAGTTCAAGGTATTGCCACCCATGCGTGTGTGTGTGTGTGTGTGTGTAGGTGGGGTGGGTAACGCGTGTGTGACAGCCTTCAGGGGAAGCGGATTAATGCAAAAAATAAGCTGTAACGAAAAAGCCTTGCCCGCTATCATTAATAAGGAAAAGGGCGGTCCTGGCAGCCTTGATAAGAATCTCCCTCCACCTGGGAAACGGTTCCAATGGCGATGGGGGTATTCTAGGAACTTAGTTTGTTTTGCATAAAATGGAAACTGGAATACTAGAAAGAACTCCAGTCTATAATCGCTTCTTTGCTTACATTATATGGAAATGTATTCATTGTGTACTTAATTCACTTCTAAACAACAAATTTCCGCTTAAAATCAAGAATCAGCTGTTTGTTTTAGCTGCCAGGCAACACAGCTGTTCTGCAAAACAATCTCAACTTCGATTTGTTTACAAGAAATCAACAATTACCTCGCTGCACAGACAACCAACTCACGGGTGTTGCAATTAGAAATGGATCTCCCTTCGAAATCATATCGCATCCACGCGTTTCTCCGTTTGAATTCCTCTCTCCTAGAGCCCCTGGCTGTCTCTGTCCAATCGAGTATTTATTTATTTATTATTTGTTCATCCAATGAAAGTCACGTTCTCATTAATGTTTCTGCTGCTGCTGCTTCTCTGTCCTCTTTTGTAGCCACATTTCTATACACGACGATGTGCTAATGCCTGTGACGTTTTCTCTTATTTAATTATACATTTAAGACTTATTATTAGTGACATATTTGCGGTACATGCTAACAACTCTACTTTGGACATTTTTTGGTGAACAATTTCCACATTCTCGAAGTCTCTGAAACTTTGGGCTGTGATTCATCATTCCCTAGGGTTTAAGCCGGCTGAAGAGCCCCCATTCGTGACACAGATTCGGCGGGCTATTTATCGGAGAAGTTTCTAAAATCTATGCCGCTTCAATTGATGGCAAATTGAGCTCAATCACGGGCCAAAGCATAGCCGCAGACAGTTCCGTTGCGACGTCAGCGAAATGCGCTGATTGCTTACATAAGTTTTGAAAATGCATTTTCATGGGTCTCTGTCTCCGTCTCCGTCTCCGGTTTCGGGCAACAGCTGTAATGGGGAAAAAAAAGTATACTTTTTGTGGAATAATCAATACGCATACTCATACTCGTACACGAAAAAATATAAAAATAACGATCACAAGCCGTTTATCTTATCAGCTGAGCTGTTTGTTTGCCTTTGACTTGAGCTGGCATTATAAACTCTGTTTCTTTTACAATTGCAGTCCTAAAAAAAAGAACACCAGGCTGTGGCAAACAGATGAGAGATGCGAATAGTGCGAATGGTGACGACAGCACAAAGCAGCAGCAGCAGCAGCAGGAGCAACAGCAGTGGAAACAACGAGGGGCAACAGCAATAACATCAGTGTAGAAGGAATAATATTTCGACGAAAAACCACAAGTTGCAGGCCGGCAGGCAGCAGCAGTAGCAGCAGCATGACCACAAGAAAGAGCTGCCACGTACTGGCCCTGTTGGGTCTGTGTCTGGTCTGCCATGAAGCGGCTGTGGTCAGTGGACATGTGCTCGTCTACAGACGCATCTCAAATCAGGCAAGTATTCTATATGCATGTGTATTTCCTTTGACAGAACAACCAATACTCATTTGTTGATATTTCTTTTGGCAGTTGATCGAAGAATTCAATGATTTGCCAGCACAATTTGGTCCTCTACTGCCGCCGAATGGTCTCAAGGTGTATGTGGTGCCTGCCATGCCCCATTCCTATGGTTGTGATACGCTGAGTAGGCCACCGCATTTGCTTTATCCATCGGCGGCCAAATTTGTGGCACTGATATCACGCGGCGGTGGGTGCACCTTTGAGACGAAGGTGCGTATGGCACAGAATGCAAGCTACTCAGCTGTGATTGTCTACAATAATGAAGGGGATGACTTGGGTAAGCAGCTCCGGCACCAGCGCATACCCGCCGCAATCAAGTGACTTCCCTGCCGATTGTCTTACTAATTATGTCTCTGATTTGCAGAGCAAATGTCCGCCGATAATCAGTCGGGCATACACATACCCTCCGTCTTCGTGGGCCACACAACGGGTAAGGCGCTGGCCACATATTTCACGCCCGAAGTGGTGCTAATCATCAACGATGAGCTGCCCTTCAATATCAACACACAATTGATATTGCCCTTCTCCATATTGATTGGCCTCTGCTTTCTCATCATGGTATGAGCGATTCAATCTTTGATTGATTCACATATCCCTATTTACATTTCATTCATGGTTTGTGTTTCGTTCTTTAGGTCATCTATATGATATATAAATGCATACGCGAACAGCGTCGCCTGCGTCGCCATCGACTGCCCAAGAGCATGCTGAAGAAGTTGCCTGTGCGGCGCTACACAAAGAACAATACGAACAATAAATATGATACCTGTGTGATCTGTCTGGATGAATTCGTTGAGGATGACAAGCTGCGTGTGCTACCATGCTCACATCGTAAGCGAAGATCGCTGTAATCCAGTAGATAATACATATATATTTATACGTATATCTTTATCTTGCAGCCTATCATACACATTGCATTGATCCCTGGCTGACCGAAAATCGTCGCGTTTGTCCCATTTGCAAGCGCAAGGTTTTTACGAAAGGCGAGACACGTGCAAGTCGGAATCGACAGCCTTCGTTGGATAGTGTCACGGACACGGATGATGATACAACGCCGCTGCTGCAACAGCAGCCAAACGGTGGCAGGCAGGGTGGTCAAGGGTCCACCTCATCCGCTGCCAGTGCAGCAGCGGCTGGCAGTAGCTCAAGTGTGGCAACAGCTGCTGCTGCTGCTGCTGCTGGAGGCACCACACGCCACGGCACCTTTCGACGTGCTGATGCTGGTCGGAATCCATTTGAGGCGCAGGAGACTCAAAGCTCGGATGATGAGAATGGTGCGTGTGCTGCTCTGCTGATTGATTGAATCATTTAGTAAATTCTCTTCTTTGTTTTTGGGAACAGCCCTGCTGGACTCTGCCTCACTTCCGGCCACCTCATCGTCGTCCACTCATGAGCGCATGAATCCATTCGATCGTGCACCAAATCTACCCGCACATCTCGCTCGACAGTTGAACGAAGCACGTCCCTCGATTTGGTCGCGCATCAACTTTGGGTAATGCCTATTTTTCATTGTATTTCTTTTTGTGTGTCTGGACGCTAATTCTGAATGCATTTTGGCAGCTTCCTGTTTCGTCGTCCAGCGACTGCGATTAGTGTGGCAGCACCTCCATATCTGGAGCACGTAGAGTCTGGAACTAGTGCCGTGATGGGGCTGCCTGCGACGACTGCAATGACATCAACAACGGGGACAATTGCCGTTGCCACGCCCGCTTCGAATAACATCCTTAATCCGAATTTAAGCGGCTCGTTCAAGGATGACGACGATATGCCACCGCATCGCTCCATCTACGAACCCATAGCAATCAATACGCCAGCGGCCGCCAATGATTCGGCGTTCCTGCAGACGCCCACGCAGGGCGGCATAGGCGTGGCCGCATTGCCACACAGTGCTGCCGATCGTCAGTTTCTCATATGAGATTCCCCCTTAGTCGTCATCGATTCCCAAAGAATAACACTTTTTGTTTTCTAATCAAGAATTATTTTTCGTTTGGGTTCGCTTTCAGGAGAGAATCAAAGAGAGAGAAGGAGAGAGAGAGCTGTGTGGCTGCCAGCTGCTTTGTTTTAAACAATTAACGAATGTTTATTATTAAATATTAATAAATATGTAGGCCCCCCCCCAGATCTTGTGCTGGCCTGTAAGTCCGTCACGCCCACAAAATACACAGGCACACACAATACACACACACACACGTACATATATATGCGTATAAAAATTGTGATTTATTTTATATACATTTTACAAACCTAATCGCACGATTGGCACAGAACCACAGAAGAATCACCCGCCTACAAAATTTACCAAAACAAAACGCAAAAAATACCACATTTAAGATTTGAAATTGTTTTTTATTTTACTGATTTTGATTTCGGATTAATTATTTTTTATGTTTTTTCTTTAGTCAAACAAAACCCAAAAACGTGCAACAGAGCGATTCATGGAATTAGTTTGTATTTTTAATTTGAAACAAACACACACAAAAACAAACAAAACAAAAACAAATGAAATTAAAGCAAACAAAATTTGATTAATGAATGATTGATGTGGCATTATATGGGCCACATATTGTATATTATTCTCGATTTAACTAATTTTAAGTTTACTATAAAAAAAAAAGAAACAATATTTAAACTAAAACACCTCCAAAATGTTGCAATTGATTTCCGCAGAAGAGTAGTGAAAAACACAACACAATAAAACATATACAATATATGAATGAATGTACGTTTCTTCTCCTTTTTAAAAATATGATAAAATTATATTTCAAGTTGCCACAAAATCCACTGAAAGTAGAACAAAAAAAAACCAAGTGTTTGTGATTATTTTAACCCAAAAAGAAACCCTATTATATGAAACTGAAGATAAAACGAAATTCAATTAAGGCATAGATGCATTCGAAAAAAACCAACCAAAATATATAAAGTATATTTAGAAATGCTGTGGCAGTGTAATTTAAATTTAATTTACATTCAAACAAAAAATAAACGTAATGGATATAAAAAATACACATGATCTGGAATTGTTTTGCTCACCAGATCAGGGTTATTAACAGATAAATGGAGGGCTTAAAGAGTTTCAAGGGGGCTCTAATAGAAATTAGAAGAGTCCTGGTCCTTGGACTGTAGTTGGCCGCAGCTTTCTGAGACTTCATGGCTAGAAATTTAGGAGCAGCACTCTGTTCACTTCAAGGATGGGCACATCGTTGATGATTTCAATTTTACCCTTTGAAATCTTGGTCGGGATGGACAGAGCCTGGAAGCAACTGGTCTTCTCGGGTCCCAAGCCAGTGTTCTGTGCTGGGATGATGACGTTCAGGGAAGCGATGGCACCCGAACGGTGCAACTTGCAAGCAACTTGTCGCGGACCTCGGCCAAATCATCCTTGGTGAAGACAAAGCCAGCATTGCCCTTAATGTGGGGTAGCAGCTTCTCCATCATAGCATCATGGCGTTCTTGCTTTTGGAGCCTTCTTGGCTAGAGATTTAGGAGCAGAACTCATTTTACTTCAGGAAATAATAAGTGATTCTATAAGAAATCGTTTTTGCATATATATTCAATTCTGTTTAATGCTTGTAAAATATGCAGTAAACCTTAGCCCTTCCAGCGTCAATTCTAAGAATGATGGCTGTTTGCTAACCTCCGATGATGGGTACAACATGGGTGGATGGGTCTAAAAGGTGCCAGTATCTGTATTCCTCTGTTATTGAGATTCTTCCTCCATTTCCGATTAGTTTCCATGATGAGATAATGCCTTGTTTAGCCAGCACTTCATCCCATATGCCATGTAGATTCGAGATATGCGACGTGTTGCTAAACTTCAATGGGGTTTCGAATCCACCCGAGTTTATTGGTGTCCATAAACCCTTTTACCCAGGCATCCCAAGCCTCCCTGCTACCCTGCTGGGTAGCACTTCTTTAATCCCACATTAACCATCCCTAATTACACCTAATTACACGATTGTTTTCCAACACAACACGCGAACGGCAGTAATAGACAACTCATTTTGGATTCTTACGCATGTTCTTTCAACTTTAATTATAGTCGGCCTATTTTTTGTGTAGAAGGAGGATTCATTGTATTTTCTGTGTGTTTGGTGTTGATCCAATCCAAGGGCCTGGGAATCACTGCAGCTGCTGTTCCGAATGTACGTGTAGGGTATTTATATATTGGAAATTGCTATATATCTATGTATATGCCATATATAGATGTGTGTGTGTGTTTTTAGGCCACCATTTACGTACATTTTGTGGTTGGGTTGTGGGTGTGAGGGATAAATAAATACGAAGTAATTCTCGGGATTTATACAAACATTTTTCACTTTATATAATATAAGAGTTATTTTATAGCATATATAGTTTATATCATTACACATATCGTAGGAGTATACATTAAACAGCATGTATATTCATTCATTCCATTCAGATTTTAGTTGAGTAATCAGCACTTTTCGAAGATATTATTACAATTTTTCTAGAGAGAGAGTGTAGGGGAGATGTCCGATCTGATCTGATGATATATATGGGATATATAATGTATGATTTGTACAGATTTCATGTGAGTGTGTATGTGAATGCGAATGAGTGTTTTTTGTGGGATAATTGATACAATTTTCGGTTTTAAAAATGTCGACAAAGCTATGTACAAAAAAAAAGACAGAATATGCAGCACTTTTAAGAACTTATAACTAAAGAAACATAATGTTTTATGGGTTGCATGGGAATTCCGCTTCACTTGACCACAAGCGATTGCTTGAGATGCCGCACCAGACCGGAACCAATATCCTGCACATCGGGCCATTGACGTATCACAAAGATGACAAAGAAAATCGATAGAAATGTGGTCAAAACGCGTACCCTATAACCAACAAAATTTCAATTAGTTTTCCACCTTCAAATTCTTTACTGCAAAAACCCCATACCTTGTTTTAAGAAATGGCATTATAATGCCCGCTGCTGTGGCCACTAGTAGGAGTACCACCTGTAATACCGTTAATACCACATTGATGAGCTTCACAACCAAGGCCCTGGCATTCGAATTATCAATGCCCTCAACGGTGACATATTGTTGCTGTGACATGTGCTCCATTTTGGATATCTGCGAGAGGGATTACATGAATATGAATGTGAATATGAATATGAGTCTGTTCTCCTTTTGGTCTAGGGGCTTACCCTCGTTTGACAATTCTCAAGCACTTCGTTGACATCACGTAGTCTTTCATCGCTTTGGTATTGTACTTTCTCCTCCATGTCGGCAATCGTTTGCTTTAGATTCTCAATTTCATTCTGCAAAAGGATAAAACAAAGGGCCATATTTATTTTTGGAACCATGCCAAAAGGGGAAAGGAAAGGCACCGTCTCGTGTCCTACAAACCTGATGTAATTCCGTCAAGTCATTGATTTGCTCTTCGAGTCCCTCGGCACGATATCGTTCACTTTCGAGTGTGGCTGTCAGGTTATTAAATTCCTTTTGGCTTGTCTGTGGATAGATGAAGAATTAATGTAAGTCCAGAGAGGGAAAAGAGGGCGCGTACCTCTAGCCTTTCCATGCGCTCCTTGAGCTTCTCATTCTCTGCCTTGCGTTCGGCCAGCTCTGTGAGGAGTGTCTTGAGGACTATGTGATATTGGCTGGCACCAGATTGGCTCTTGCCAGAGCTGCAACAACGAAAGAGAGCCCTCGTTAAGTACTCCATGTTGCAAAGGGATCCCATGCCCCCCCCCCCAGGCCATATGCTTACCCCGCTGGTATGCTCTCACTCGTCACGCTGCTGCATTCACTGCCATTGTCGCTGTTGAATTTCCCTGTGCCGCTGCCGGTTCCCGTATTATTATTGTGTCCGCCGCCACCCGATCCTGTGGAGGTTCCAGCGCCTGGCACCTGCTGCTGCAGTCTTTCGTTGGCTGCCAGTACATCGGCGGCATTGGCCGCCTGCATGCCCTGCAGCTCGGCATCGCTCATCTGATTGATGTTGTCGGCGCTGCCAAACTTGTTCTTGATGAGATGGGCAAACTCTCGCGGCTTGGACATCACAGAGCCAGAGAACCCGGTGATGCCGTCGCGTATGTTGCCACCCACGTTCCTCAGACCCTGGCCCACATCGCGCAGGACCTCGCGCGGCTGTCGATGCTGGCTCTTGGTCTGGTATTGATGGTTCTGCAGATCTTTGGCTCGTTTCGTATAGTTATCGAGCTTCTTCTGCAGCTGCGAGATGCTGTGTGCGCTCTTTTGGTTCTTCTTTTCGAAGACAGCCTGTGGCAAAAGAAGGGTAAATTAATGGGGGGGGACTTTCCTCGAAGGGACTGGCGGGACTCGTACCTTGATGCGCTGCAGCTGCTGTTTGTCGGCGCTGGCTGCTAGCTTTAGATATTCATTGACGTTATCTGAAAGGGAATAGATACTATATAAACTTTCTGTGCCTTTAAGGACTCCCCCTCTCTCTCTCTCTCACCATCTCTGGCAGTTTGCTCTTGTCGTATTGACTCCTTGGTGCATTGGATTTTCGTGTTCAAACGATCGATGGCCTGGACACTGGAGCTCCTCTCGTGGGTGCATCTCCGCGGTCTTTTGCTGCTGTCAAACTCATCCGACACGAATGATGAATAGTAGTCCTCGTTGCCGGACAATCGGGAATCCTCTAGTCCACTGCCTGTGCCAGCACTCCCGCCACCGCCGCCTCCCTGGGTTCCGCCGCCCACCACACCTCCAAAATCATTCATATCATTGACGCCCACAAGGCCGCTGTAGGCCAGGAGGCCGCCCTGATCCGAGCCATGGGTCCGACGCTGCCTCTCGCGACTCCTTCGCCGGTGGGTGGGGCTGTGGCTGCGGAAGCCACGTGCCGCCACCCCACCGCTGCCCAGACTGCCGGTCACCGTGTTGCCGCCGCTGTAGACAGCCGCCTGTGCAGCTGCCACTGTGCT